AAGAAGGAAGGAGGGAGGGAGAAAAGAGAGAGAGAGAGAAGAGGGAGGGAGAGGAGAGGGAGGGACAGAGAGAGAAGAGAGAGGAAGAGGAGGGAAGGGGAGGGAGGGGAGAAAGAGAGAGAGGGAGAGAGAGAGAGGGAGAGAGAGAGAGAGAGAGAGAGAGAGAGAGAGAGAGAGAGAGAGAGAGAGAGAGAGAGAGAGAGAGGAGAGAGAGAGAGAGGAGAGAGAGAGGAGGAGAGAGAGAGAGAGAGAGAGGGAGAGAGAGAGAGAGAGAGAGAGAGAGAGAGAGAGAGAGAGAGAGAGAGAGAGAGGAGAGAGAGAGAGAGAGAGAAGAGAGAGAGAGAGAGAGAGAGAGAGAGAGAGGAGAGGGAGAGAGAGGAGGGAGAGGAGAGGAGGGAGGGAGGGAGGGGAGGGAGAGAGGGAGGGAGGAGGGAGAGAGAGAGAGAGAGAGAGAGAGAGAGAGAGAGAGAAGGAGAGAGAGAGAGAGAGAGAGAGAGAGAGAGAGAGAGAGAGAGGAGGAGAGAGGAGAGAGAGAGGCCACGTGTAAATGTGTGGTGTTTCAAACCGAGCGTGCAGGATACCACCGGCCAAGACGAGAGAAATACTCGTAAAACTCGGTTAGAAGGCAAAAAAGAAGCGTATATAATCCTGGATATGGAGCCGTGCAGGATACCCGCCAGAGAGAAAATACTCGTAAAACTCGGTTAGAAGGCAAAAAAGGAAGGCGTAATATAATCCTGGATAAAGAAAAAAAAAGACAAATATACATGAGATCTGAATGAATATTACTTCATTCCCGGTCCTGATTCATATGGTTGTATGTTGCAGCTGTCAACTGGATAATGAACATGGCTCTAATTTCTGTACTTTTTCTAAAGGAAGTTCTCTCTTCCTCTCTGCCCCCCTGTCTCCTTATGCGTGTTTCGTGTTCGTGTTTCTCTGAGCATGCCAACATACATGCACCTCTACATACATACAGGACCCATGACAAACGCTATCTGATGGAAATCAATCAAAGATTATGATCAGATTTAGAGCAACTCAAAGTCATAAACCGTCTCCAGCCTTTCAGTTTTCTCACGGAATTCTGGAGCAAGACAGGCATGTATTTTTCAATTTTAGTAAATGGAAAATGACCAGTGATCTCGGTGACAGCGTTCAATTATCGTAGTAGATAAGAACGTAAGCAAGTGGGACCGTCCACCATATTTACTCGACCAATTATTAACACAGAGAGGAATCCGCGGGTTGCATGCTTCAAAGTATGCTTGTCAAATTGCTCTCCGTGAACCCTGGCAATCACCATTTTATTAGATTTAAAAAAACCTCCCTCACGAACATCTAATTCAATTTGATGGAATAAATGCCATACAAATGAATATAGAATGATAAAATAAACGCCGAAAGAAAGACAAAAAAAAACGAAAAGAAATAACAGACAAGGAAAATGTAAAGTTCAAGAAAAACAGCGTATGACCTTCGCGCGCCATCGCCGGTGTCACGAACGCCCTCCCAAGGCCACGGTGAGAATAACAATCCCCGAAGCTCACGACCTTCACCTCCCACTTCGGGGAATTAGCATAGAGAGGAACGTCAGGGAGTTCGGTATTCAGAGTCGAAAGCGCACGTTCGGAGGATCTATTTCGCGGTTCGGGATAAGTTCGTGATATAACATTTTGATGCTGTAAGCTATTCGTGGGATCTTCTATACAGTGAAGGTTGTACTTTACCAGAGGCGCTCATCATCTACATCCTTAATATGAAACCCAAGGTAACAAAATGAGTCATATGTGTCCCTTTAAGGCGTGATATAGCAGAAATTATGATGGTGGATATTAATTTAAAAAAAATGTATCGTCACCTTTACTGCAATAACTATTACTGTTAGTATTGTTCTAAATCATAACAATTAAAATTAATTAGTCGCATTATAATAGCGATTATCATATTCTACAAATATAGGTTATCAAAATTACTGTACTAGTCACGATTATAATTTCCATTACAGTAACACAAGACACATGTAAGTCACGACGTTGGAAATACGCAATCGTAAGCTTCTCTACAAATCATTTCGCAAGATTCGTATTCATCAGTTGTTTCCAAACGTCAACAATTTCGTCGCCATGAGCACAAAATCTGTCCTTTCTCTCCTCCTCTTTCTCGTTTCCTTGCCTGTGCCTTTCCCTCATTTCTCTTTTCTCTCCGCTTCCGCTGCCCACCCGTACCTGCCCTTAGAGTCGCGGTCCTTCCCTACATAATCCGAACCGCACCTTCCCCCCCCCCCCAGCCCCCCAACGACCGCCAGCCAAGCCCCTGCTGAGACCACACAGACAGAGGAGCCGCAGACGCAGAGGCCCTCCCCTGCCGCTCCCCCAACGCCTCCTCCGGCCTCATGTCTGCAGCTAAATCGATGGTTGCAGGACCTCTACTGCTCATGTCCGGAGAACTGCTCATGGTCCTCGCCGCCATGCCTCCTGAGATACACTGCGGGCCCTTGCTGCAAAATCCTGCGGTTGTGTTGCAGATCCCCACATGATTTTTTTTCGTAGTTTGACCTGTCAGACCCTTTTGGTTCTTCTTATTCCGTATTGACGCGGTGATGTACGTATTTATGTGATGAGTGATTTATCCTTCACAAACCACATTGTTTAAATACAGCTCACCTCTGGGAATCATGTAGTCATTGCTGGTTCTATTTTCATCCTGGACATTTTAGCAATAGTTTTGCAGCTAAATAATGGAACGCTAAACTTATCGGCGTGACATCGATTCCTTTATCCTCTGAATGTTGAATGGTTTGGCTTCGGCCTACTCTAGTCCCTTGCCACGACGATGGCCATAACCTAGACCTTGCAGCCGTCGACACACCAAGTTCACCTCCACAGTACGGAGTCCACAAGGCTGAACGGAAGGAGCATGTGTCTAGAGAGCATTCTAAGGCGGGGGATGAAATCGAAGCTGAATAGACTCAGCACAAGACACATGACAATCCAAATGTTTAAATGTTTAAGATGTTTAATGGAAAGCTTTAGAGATTCAGATTCCCGCATCATAATTTTGCGACTGATGTGTTACTCATGACGTTTAAAGGCGCGGGCGGTTAAGGCGATCACCGCATGACTCACGCTCACCGATGGAATATGCAAATTCAACGCCATGCTTATGCTTATCGCTTATTAATGAACACGTGCAGTGTGTGTGTGCAGTGTGTGTGTGTGTGTGTGTGTGTGTGTGTGTGTGTGTGTGTGTGTGTGTGTGTGTGTGTGTGTGTGTGTGTGTGTGTGTGTGGGTGCATGCGTGCGTGCGTATGTGGACAGAGGCATAGACAGATAAAGTGGCAGTGAGCATAAATTCCTCTTTTTAGATCTGCATCTTGTTAATTCCCTTTACCTATGGCATCTTTGATTAGGCAAAACAAACATAAACCGTTCAGCTATACGATGCGTGGCGGATAGGCCCTGTGCTCTCGCATGTGTGTTTGTGTGTGTGACTGCCTATGTATATAATTGTTTAGATGTGTAGAATTATACATGCGTGTATATTTATATGTGGTGTGTTTAATTGCATGTGTGTGGCAATAAGGTATGCATATGTTTATGCGTGATGTTTGTATGCAAACGTGTGGTAATATGTGTATGTCTATGTTTATATATCTAAGTGCAATGTGTTTGTATAAAAGCATTTTATTGCGCGCACGTTCGATGGCTTGGGGAGTGGAGATGAGTCAGACAGCAAGGGTGTTTGACCGACCTGCAGCTGTGTATCTTGTTGTAAGCATAGCAAATAAACGTACAATCAAAATCAAAATCACAAACAAAAGCATACACACAACCATAATTCCAGCGAAATTATTGCCCATAAAAAAAGATATATATATATATAATATATATAATATATATATATATATATATATATATATATATATATATCAAAAAAGAGAATAAGCTAAAGGAGTGATGGCTCTCACAGAAGCGCACCTTTACGCCATATCTATTTGCAGTCTCGTATCGTCATGTTCTTTTCTCGGAGTCATACACGCGCACAGCTGTCGGCACTCTTCCTGGAGCGCCACGTTGGCTTTGGTCCTGTGTATGCGTCGTATGGGTGTATCAAGAATTTGCTTTAGTTATCTTGTTTATCGTTAATACGCGAGTTGTCCGTGCGGGAATTCTCGTGCCTGTGCGTGTGAACGTCTTGGAACAGGCACGACCGGCGTCTCCGAAAGAATCGATCTAAAAAATAAACCGGAAGCCTTTTTTCTGATTATCCGTGTCTCAAATACTGTTCTCGTTACGGAACATAACGAATCTCCAGTTCGAATGTGTCTGCATGTTAGGACTTGCTTTAGATGTGTTGCTACCGTAAGTCTCGGCGGCTCCACCTCGTCTCGCAAGCGCTTTTCCCTCAAAGGAATCAGTCAAAAAACGCACTACGATTCCAGTTGCGTGTCTTTAAACTTGTTCAAATATAAAAGCGTTTTGGTGAATATTCTGTCCCTGATCATACAGGCTCTGAAGTGACCTGCCCAAAGGCCTGTCTGTTGGGTTTGGCAACACCCGCCTGCGACCTTCAACTCCCGCTGTCGTGGGCGCGGGCGGGGCAGACAGGCTGTTTCTCGTGCAACCCGGTTTTCCCTCGTCCGTTTTTTGCTGCTTGAAGGACTTTAATTCCAGCGCTCGACTGACGACCATTTCGAGATCTTTTTGATGAAACCGACCGGGTCACCTGGCTGGCGTAAAGGGGATAGTCATGCTTGAATTCTGATACAGGTGCCCGGCATGAGAGACCGTCTATTGCCGAATAGCAAGCAAAGCCGATTTATACAAAAGATAATGATTATTTATTTATTTGCATTACCAGGAATTATCCCCACCCCTCAAAAGAAGAAACGGAACAAACCAAATGTAAATAAACAGAAACAGCAAGCGTATTTCGGCATTTTCCAGATGGAAATAACACCTGCATGAAATAAAATCAAACATAAAATAAAATCTTACCCATCTTGAGTTATTTGCGAGCCGAGGACAAACGAAACACAGCGCACTGGCAGCCACCAACAACACCGGCGCCCGCGTCTCCCTCCCTTATATACCGGTCCCGCCCAGCTGTGAGTGGAGGACCTTGCGCGCGCAGACACAGCACAATTCCTTTAAAATTTCGTATTTTAGCGTTATGATCTGGAGGCCGAGGCGATTTCTTGGGAAGATATACAGCTCTAACTTACTGGTGATATACAGTAAGAAAGGTGACACTGCTTACTTTTGTCTCTATGACGGACTAAAAAGCAGACTCTGAGCTAGTGACGAGTTGAATGACATCTGGCAAAGAGTGACAGCTCAGGGATGTCACAGAGAAGGAAGCCGCGCCACCGGAGACTGGCAAGCAACAAATACCAGCAAGAAAATAACGAAGAAATGACCAGCAGGGAAACACGAAAGAAACTACATTGTGTCGCGTCTGCAAAGAAAGTACCTCGAAAAGTACAGCTCAACACGTGAAAATTGGCTGCACTCGAGGAACGTCTTGGCAATACTCCAGCTGTGGTTCGGGCTCGCCGTGGCCACGCCAGTGAACCACGGCCGAGCTGAACTGTCGGACCCGAAAATAGTTTCATGACTTGTTACAGCTTGACATGACAGGAAACGAATGTTTTGTCACTAGCATAGGGTGCACATTTGTACGTTCAGACGAGCACAGAAACTGTGTATATGTACACACACACACACACACACACACACACACACACACACACACACACACACACACACACACACACATATATATATATATATATATATATATATATATATATATATATATACACATATATATGTGTATATATATGATTTATACACACACATATATATATATATATATATATATATATAATATATATATATATATATATATATATATAATATATATATATATGTATGTATGTATGTATGTATATATATACCATTTTTATAACATACACACATATATGTATGTATATATATTTATATGTATATGTATAGATTATATATACATATACAGTATATATATATGTATATATGTATATATTTACATAATATATATGTGTATATATATATATATATATATATATATATATTCTCTGTGTGTGTGTGTGTGCATGATTGCCCCACTCAGACTCTGGTTTGCACCCCCCCCCCAAGGGCTACACTCATAATTCTTTTTCCTATAGTAAAAAACCTAATTTACCCAAACCCAACTTGATCAAATCTTTTTTGTTTAGCCAAACCTAATCTAACTCAACATAACTACCCAAAGCCAAGGAAAGTATACTCAGGTAGCTCCACTTCCACTTCTGTTGAACCGGAAAAAGAAATTGACTTCTTCCCTAGAGCATTCTGGCAGCTATTAATAATAAGGAATTCGTTATCATAAATAAGAGAGAGGAATTTTGGTTTCACTTTTTATAATTATAACAATAGCGAGTAAGTTATACAAATAATTATGTATCTAGTTATATCTGATATCTCACAGTGCACTCTCATATAAACGTGGTGATGGCATTAGCTCCTCCCCCTTTATTGATCCCAACTATTAGAGGTTTATGATTCAGTAATACCAATGGCATAATAATAATAATAAATGAATAAATAAATACATAATAAATAAAAAAATCTGAAACAAATGTAAAAAATAAAACAAATATTTAACATTTGCAATGAATAAAGGTGATCAGACTTAGCTCAGAAGTTGCCAACTAGATTTTCATCAAGATGGAGTATTTATACCAATGTAAAGATACTTTGCCCAAAACCAGTCAAACCAACTATGATCTGCCTATACTTACCTACCTAAACCTAATCTATCCAAACTTAACCTAACCTACCTTGGTCGATGTGGACCTAATCTATCCAAAGTACCTAGCTAGCCCTAACCAAACTTACTTTGACCTACTCAAACCTACCTTAATTTTCCCAAACCTGAGCAAGCCAAGCTTAATTTGAAGGCAGTTTGAACCCCCACTCCTTGATGATGATCGTAGTGGGCAATATCAGAGCTTTACATTGCAAATATCAAATATTTTTATTTTGTTTTCTTGTCTTCTTTTTCGTTCATCTTTCTAACAATTTTATTACATAAACATTTTCAAAGAAAATGCACTGGAGGAATTCACCTTAAAATATTGTATAGATTGATCAGTTCATGTAAAGGGGCAAAGCGATTGACGTCATCATGCGTAGCTAATGAGAGTCCAGCTAGATGCATAATTATTTGTATCTTACTTGAGATGATGATAATTACCAGACGTAACACCAAAAAATCCACTCTTTTATTTATGATAATGAAGAGTTGCCCAATATCACCAGCCATCAGAATACTTTCGGGAAAAAGTCAATTTAATTTTTGAGTTCAACAGGACAAATGGAAGTGGAGCTACCTGGTCATATGTTACTTGCTTAATAATATAATCTAACGTATCCTAACCTAACCTAACTTTAGCTAACCGAACTTGACTATAAACTA